TATATATATATATATAGGTATATAAGTTAATATTTTTTTTACTAAATTAAGTTAAAGTTAATGACTTACAAAATTAATATTGTATGAACGAAAAACTAATTCAGTTAAAACTCACGTTAAGATTAAATTAACTAAAGTTAAATTAAAAGTTAATATTGAAAAACATTTATATTAAATTAAAATGTCATTTTTTAAAATAAAATTACTCTAATAAATAAAAAAATTACAATATAAATCAAATCAATTTAAGATTTTATTTGTAAATTAAATTTATCTGAAATAACAACGAAATATTTTTTTTATATGAAAATGTTTTTTTCTTTTAAATATGTAAATTTTTAACTTAGAAAAAAGTTAAGTTAAAGTTTATATATATTTAAAAATAACTAGGTGAAATTAATAGTTAACTCGTTTAAAATTAACTAAATTAAAATTTATTAAATATTTAACTATTTAATAAAAGTTAAATATTAACATTATTATTTAACTTTTAACTTCTTAACTAGTTACTACTCATCCCTGCATACATTATATCTTACAACAAGCAAACGTATAAGCAGTGAGACGTATAATCTCTATAGCAATCACTGTTTATGTAGATATCAAAGTTTCTGATTTGTTGCAGCTATAGCCACGGCTACGCCGATCGTGAATAGCAGCATGTCGCAGCCGACCATCCACACCTCGTGCAGCGACACATCGTCGGTGAGACAGAACTATCCGCGAACGGTCGCGCAATACAGCTTGAATCGCGCGCACGTCACGTTGGAACCAACTCCAGAATCCAGCCCGGATTCTTGTAACATACCTAGCTCGACATACGAGCCGTTACAGAGTCAAGTAAGGATATCAAATATGCGCGACATAAATTTATTTGCTAGTTTGGCGCGTAGCGAGAAACATTGCACTTTACTCTTGTTATTTCTTTTAGTTGTCATATACGAGCGGGCAGTCGTACAGTGGAAACGCCCAATACGCCCCTGGTCATTACGGCAACAGCACTCAACCGATGAGCAGCGCCGTGGAGAGCAACGCTAGCAAGCGGTTGCAAGGGCATCCTCTTAAGAGCTTCAGCGTGCCGGCTCCTCCGCCGCAAAGTGCCCCTTCGACACCGGCACAGCAGAAGCACGGTGGTTAGTATAATAATTAATTGATTACAATTACAGTCGAACTTCGATAACTCGAATCTCAAGGGAGCAGAAAAACTGTTCGAATTATAGAGTTTTCAACTTATCGAAATTCGAGTAAAAGAGAGTTAACATATGAAGTCGGAGGCTTTGTACGAGAGTTTGTAATTTAAAAATTAATTCCCATTATAATGGGCTTTTAAAGGAAAAAAATCAATATTCAACAGTGAATTATATTGCATATATATGATAAATGTAACCATAAAACAAAATATCAGGTTATTACTCACGGTTATACATAGCTACAACTTCCGAATTATAGAGGTAGCGACAATGGAAGTTCAACTTTATAGAGATGAACTTCAACTTGTAAAGGTCTGGCTACTTTAAATTCGAGTTACAGAGGTAAAATATATGTATATCTAAATGCCTACCAAATAATTCGAGTTAAGGTACGTTTTATTTCGATTTATAGAGGTTTTCCGCAGCGGAGCGGAAGGGGAGATCGGAAGAGCACACGT